GAGTTCGTATGCCCTGGAAATTTACCAATAGAAATTCTTTGAAGCCTAGAGCTGAATCTCTGTTCTTCCAGAGGGGATTTGCTTTTACTTCTGGCAAGCATCTGGAGACACCCCAGCCCAAGTCCATCATATACATGTCTTGACTTGTGGGTTTTTTGGACCATCCACGTAGTGTGTGCATTTAAATTACAGAACTGGACCAATCTGTTACAAATTCTCACTGCAGATTTTTTTTCTTCTTTCACTTGTTTATGCAAAACGGTTATTGAATGATAAAAATCAACACTTGAGATCACCTGGCATTGGCAAGTACTTTCAAGAGAAAAGCCAACCTCAGTGGTTATATATACCTTCCTGGAGCTCTGCTTTCACTAACTCTTTGGCCTTGCAGGTTTTCTTACATTCTTGCTCACTCATAGGTTTTGTAAAATATTTAAAAAAAAAATATTCTGGGGTGTTTGGGTGGCTCACTTGGTTAAGCATCTGACTCGTGATTTCAGCTCAGGTCATGAACTCAAGGTCCTGAGCTTGAGCCCCATGTTGGGCTCCGCACTCAGCAGAGAGTCTGCTTGGGATTCTATCTCTCTCCCTCCCCCCCCACCTCCTGTGTGTATGCACACGCTAAATAAATAAATAAAAATATTTTATATCATCTGTTTATTTGCTTTCAATAGAAGGGTTCATCAGGGTGCCAGAAACTGAAGTCCATCTGTTCGGGACAGAGAACTGTATCATGAGATAGGGATCTTTCTTACTGACAGCTTAGGGACGGTATTTTAGTACGGGGAGGGAGGTAATATAGGAGAGATTCCTATTTTAGGAAGAAGGTTGATATGTAGATAACCCTTGGGGTCTCTTTCATTATAAAAGTATATAGTTCTAGCTAAAGTAATCATTTTTTGTTTCTCTTAGGAATTTACTATTTTGAACAAGACTAATATTATCGAATGACATTTAAATCTGGTTTCCCTAACAGTGGAAGTTGTGAATATCTGTCACTTGTTAGGAAACATTGAATCTGCACTAGAAGTCGTCTTAATCCACACTGCGGTTTTGAAAGCACGTTCTTAATCTGAAATTGTTGAACAAAATTAGATTGGTTCTTTAGCCCTCCCTCCAGTGTAAACACAAATGGAATTATTTGTGGATGATTGGCATTCGTGGAGAGATATTACACTTTTCATGTAGAAATCTGTTAAGATGCCCCAAGGATTTAAATTTTTTCTGTCAAGGATTTATTTTAAAGTTTCCTCTCCTGTTCTCCATCTGTCCAGCCTTGTCTCATCCTTCCAGATCAACTTCGTCATCTTCAATTTCCTTCTCACTGTGACTGTCAGTGACCAGGATGCCAGATGCTCTAAAAACCTGTTTTTGCCTTTATCAGTCTGCTCTAAAGACCTGTTTCTGCCCTTATCAGTCTCTAGATTGCTTAACAAAAAGTATGTTTGAAAAATAGAGCTATCAGCTTTCCATTGCCTAGGTTAAGACTCTTCAGTTCAGCTCTAGAATAATTATTATATCTGCACAAAAATAACTTCCCATTACACAAAGCACTTTGCATAGCACCATCTCTAGACTCAAAGGCAAACAGAGGAACCTACAAATTCATATGAACTATGGGCCTGTTTATGTGCATATTATTCATTTTAATTGGGCTAGAGAAATGTCAGATATGGAAATGGCATTTAATGTTCTGATATTATCGTATATTAATGCTTTGCAGATTCAAATTTAAGGGACTGCTCTTAGCAATGAGAATTGCTATCTATCAGTAAGAGAAAGGATTTTGAAAGCCCATGTCTGCTTAGAGCATATCATAACAGATATAGTAAGTTTGTAGAGTGACTTCAAGGTTCTTTCTGTGCACTATATTTTCTCTCTATGTGTATGGTTCTCTGAATCACCTGTCTAGTGAAAGAACTTTCCTCTCTCAATGTTATATAAGTGGTGGATGGGCCCACTCCACTGATTGGAGTTCCTTCCTAATAAGGCTGCCCTAATCAATGGTTGGGACCAATACATGATTCTCTAGTGAGCCAGGCCCCTTAGATTAAAGTAGTGGTTCTCAAAATTTTCAGTTTCAGGACCCTTTAAGAACTCTTCAAGACTACTGAGGTCTCAGTAGCTTACATATTAATTCATTTACAAAGAACAATAATAAATGCTTTATATATTAACATCAAAGCAATGATATTATCACATGACATGTAACATCTGGAAAACCTCACTGTATAATCATGAGAGAATAAGAATGAAAAAAATGGGGGCTCCTGGTTGGCTCAGTCGTTAGGCGTCTGCCTTCAGCTCAGGTCATGGTCCCACGGTCCTGGGATCAAGCCCTACACTGGGCATCTTGCTCCGCGGGAAGCCTGCTTCTCCCCCTCCTACTCCCCCTGCTTGTGTTCCTTCTCTCACTTTGTCTCTCTCTGTCAAATAAATAAATAAAATCTTAAAAAAAAAAAAATGAAAAAAAAATGACATTTTAGTATTATGAAAAAGATTTTGACCCCAAAGACCCCTGTGAGGGTCTTGAGGGACCATGTGGCTAAAAATTAAATCTAGATAGATAGTAAAAGAGAAAGAAAAAGAGAAAGAAAGAGATAGCCAACTACCCTGGAAACCTACTTTCCAGATAGCAAGATAGCTACTGGTTTTCCTGTAAGAAGCATTCTTAGAAGTGAAGTCAGAGGCCTTGATTTTAAAACAAAGTTGTATGTATGCCAGGTAGGTAAAGAAGCTCGGTAGGAAATAACACTTTTCATGGTCTTAGGACCTTGGCCATAAAAGCAGTTCATCAGCAAACCTTCTAAAACTTGGAGACACCATCCAAGCCAGGCCAGAGGTGCAGAACAGCACTGAATGAATTGTGCTTGCCCCCAAAGACTGGAGGAAGTCTGGGGGGTAAGCAAAACACTGATTCCCTGGAGCCTGCCAGCCCACAGCTCTATCTGGTCCAGAGCCACACAGGCAAGTTGGAGGAGGTCAGGATATTCAAGATAATCCTGACATCAAACATAGGGACATAACGTGTGGGGTAGTTCCAATGAACAGGGAATTAATTCTATTTCAGATGTCAATAAATCATGAGCTAGAAGGCTTATGTAATTCTCTGAGTTAAGTTAAATGCTCTGAGGATATGCCAGAGACATGTAGGAAATCAGTGTCCAGGAATCTGAGTTGGATGTTAAAACCCAAATCTGAAAATGAACTATAAGAAAAAGCTATTAAATATATAGCAGGCAAAAGTGGCCAAATTAATAGCATAGTTCAGGGTGACACCATCAAAGTAAAGGAGATATAATTAGCTCATTATAATTCTGTTTCTGACAAGTGATTTGGAAATTGAGAGGGAGTGGTCCTTCCTGCACCCTCTTTTTTTATATTCAAATCATTTTCAGAAACAATTCTCCCTCCCTAGACTACAGGTTGTGAATATCTTGATATGACCAAATGTATTTTTAAAAGTTAACTCCAATTCCCAGAGATTCAGATAAGCTGGAGTGTGTTAGTTGACAATTTCCACAGTCCCGGGTTTCAAGGCTAGATATGTAGCAATAACAAATGCTTAGTTTTTCTATTTCCTTGATGGCCCACCAGTGCAGGAGATGGAAAGCCATATTCCTTACTGTTTTGTGCAGCCATATCCTGCTGGTTGTTCCCCACCCCCAGAGCCATTAAGCAGCAAAAACTCATCATCTGTTAGTAGTACTGCTGAATTATTCAGGGAAATCCTTAACCAAAATAAATGGTGACTATTCCATCCAATTTCTCCTCCTCTTCAGTTTCCCATCTCTTTTCCCAACATGGGCAGATCTTCCAGACTTTCAAGCTTATGATCACTGCTAAAACATGCAGGAAAAATTGAATACCCAAATAGTTGTGTTGCACTTGGGCTTAAAGTCAGTACTTAGTTTGGTACTGGGATACTTCCAGTCAAAAAGGAAATGTGGTGGAAATAGGCATGTGTTTAATAAAGCTCATCTAAGCTCTTTTATGATCATCTAAGAAGTATTAGAAGGACTCCTATTAACAATAAGGGTGCCTGGATGGCTCAGTGGTTAAGCGACTGCCTTCAGCTCAGGTCATGATCCCAGGGTCCTGGGATCAAGCCCCACATCGGGCTCCCTGCTGAGCAGGGAGCCTGCTTCTCCCTCTCCCTCTGCCTGCTCCCCCTGCTTGTGCTCTCTCTCTCTCTCTCTGTCAAATAAATAAAATTAAAAAAAAAAAACAATAAGATTGACCTTTTGTTTGTCCTGAGGCTGATGTTTGTGTTCTGTGTCCTTAACAAGCTACCTCCTCCTCTGTGTGGTTTCTCAGTGCTGTTGCTACATTCACCCAGAAATCTCTCCCTGACTCACTTCGAGGCCTGACAGGTCTCTGCTGCCTGCTCAACCCTTTTTCTCCCTCCCTTCCTCACATTCAGTTTCAGGAATCTCCTACTGCCCCGTCAGCAACTTCTATCCCTCTCAGATCTATCCTCTGTGAACACCAAGAGTAGAAACAAGAAATGGTTAAAAGGGAATGGACCCATGGATGGGGGGAAATAAGTTAATAGGCTGTTGCTTTTCATGATAAATGCTTCCAAACGGTTAAACTTTTTGACCGTATATTTACAATACTTCAGTGAAAGTGAATCATTTCATCATTCTTGATAACTCCAGAGCAGTCTTACAAAGATATTGATATGACCATGTTCTTCCTTTGATGGTGCCTGTTGCCTATATGATACCAGCATAACCACAGTTACATATTCCTGTGCTTCTGCACATGCTGATCCCTCTGCCAGGAATGCAGATTCCTTTGGTAAGGATCTTGATCATTGTGTCAGAATCTTCTTCTCTGGACCTGGGTTTTGCATAGGACCCCATGGCCACTCTGGCTTGGTTTTGACAGGCTGCCGAGTAGTGCTCTGCCCCAGGGTGAGCAGGGATGGGTCTGTCTTTTGTAAACTGAGGTAGTCTTACTAAATCCTTTGGGCTTGCCCTCCCTGTTTCCCACAGCAGTCTGAGCTGTCAGCTGAAGAAAGTCCAGAAAAATTAGGAACCTCCCAACTTCATCATCGAAAAGTCATCTCCTTGAACAAGCAGATTCTGCAGAAGACCAAACATCTGGAAGAGGTTGGTGTTTTCTTTTTATAATTTCATTCAAGTAATATGAAATTTTTCTTCAAGAAGGGAGAAACTGGGGAAGGAGTGAAGATGTTTGTGTTAGAATGGAGGCTCTAAAACAGGGATTAGCATAGTACAGCCCTTGGGCCAATCCAGCTGCTACCTGTTTTTGTAAGTAAGGTTTTATTGGAATACATGGACATCTATTTGTTTACGTACTTTCTGTGGCCACTTTCAAGCTCCAGGGGCAGAACTAAGTAGTTGCAGCAGAGACCACATGGCCCAGAAAGCCTAAAATATTGACTACTTGGCCCTTTCCAAATGTGGCTCACAAAGCCTAAAATATTTACCATCTGGCCCAAACTGAAAAAAAATTTGCCAGCCTTGTTCTAGAAGATCACAAGACTTAAGAATAGCATTTATTGACTGACAAATGTTCACTGAGCGCTATTCTGTGCTAGGCATAAAACTAGGCTGTGGAGATGAAGAACTAACTCATTCTTTTCACACAACATCCTTGTGGAGGAGATACTACTCTTATCCTCATTTTATGAATAAGGAAACTTAGAAACAGAGAAGTGAAGTAGTTTTGCCTGTGATCACACAGCTTACTAATGGTAAAGCCAAAATTTTGAATATAAGGATCTACCTCATTGTTTCGAATTGACTTCATAGTGCAACATAGTGTATATGTACTGTAATTTACTGTACCTGTCCCCTGTTCATGGGTATGTAGGTTGTTTCGGGGTTCCCCCCCAACTGCAAATTTATGCTACCATGAACGTCTTTGTACAGTCATCTTTGTGCAAATATGTAAGTATTTGTGTAAGATTGATTTTAGAAAGTGGAATTGCTGGGTCAAAAATACAGGCATTTTCGGGACGCCTGGGTGGCTCAGTTGGTTGGGCGACTGCCTTCGGCTCAGGTCATGATCCTGGAGTCCCGGGATCGAGGTCCGCATCAGGCTCCCTGCTCGGCGGGGAGTCTGCTTCTCCTTCTGACCCTCCCCCCTCTCATGCTCACTCTATCTCATTCTCTCTCTCAAATAAATAAATAAAATTAAAAAAAAAAATACAGGCATTTTCTATTTTGCTCGAAACCATCAAATTATTCACCAATCATTTTACCAGTTTTTATGTCTACCAACAGTATATGAGAGACTCCAAACTCTTTAAATCCAAGAACTCCTGTTCCAAGATCATGCAGGTGGAAAGCAAGCAGGATGCATTTGTGGCCTTGGTGACAACCGTGGGGAGAGTCCTAGCCCAACAGAGAAATGGAAGGAGGGGCAAAGCAAGAGAAGGAGTAAAGAGCATCTCATGGTCCGACAGGGGGATGCACTACAGAGGCATAGAACTGGAACGCAGCTAGTAGGTAGCTGAGGAGAAACCTGAGATTGAGGAAGGAAAGAGGAATCCAGAAAGGGGGTGGTAACCCGCTGCTGAATTTGGGGGTGAGTCTAGGGGTTAATGATGAAGAAGAAAATGAGGGTAGGACAATCATGAAGGATTCTAGCAAGATGAAAAGTAGGCTAAGCTACTGGGACATCCCCTGTTTGAGAAAAGATGGTCAGATGAGCAGCTGAAGAGAGCTCTTATTAGTTAAATTAATCAAAGGGAAGAGATGAGTCTTCCCTTCTTAGCAAGCTACATTCCTGCCAAGATCCAACTCACGTGAGCCTTTGTTGTGAAGCCTTCCTTAGACGCCCTGATGAGCCAGACTCTCCTTGGGCCTCCCCTGGGCCTGACTGTGCCCCAGCTATTCTCATACTCTGATCCCCAGTTCACTGGTCCAGATCCTTGTGGGCAAGGACTGTGTCATGTTCATCACCTCCTCCCACATACCTCATGTGAGCAGAGCATTGGGTAAATGTCAGAGGGGGGACTGGGTGGGTGCATGGGTGAGGGGTGGACAGGAAGTGGGGAATGCTAGGACCCCTTCCTGGAGCCACAAAAGGGCTTCTTAAAAGAGTTCAGTCATTAGTATTTCAAGAGAAAAACAAACTCTCCAGAAATATTCTCTGCCGGTTACACAACATGTCAATGAAAGTTGTCATTGCACAGATGGCTTCCTTTCAAAAGGGAAAAGCCAGAGCCCATCTGCTTCCCTCCTTTATCACTCTTCTCTGCTTGAGTTGGCTTCTTGATAGGCCTTGTTGGAAAGGTAACCATTCATCAGTCATAAAGACTAGAAGCATGATTTAGGAGTAGTGATTTCTGAAGGCGACATAATTCTTAATGGGTTGCTTACATGTTCAAGGATGGGGCAAGTTATTTTGAAGCAATCATTGAGATACAGGATAAAATTTCTCATTGCTAATTTGTATGCGGGTAACCACCAGAGTCTGATGTCATTTTCTGCTACTTTCCCTTTTCAAAAGTGGAATTGTACAAACCCTTTGAGCTTTCGATGAATGTTTTCAGATTTCTAAAAGTTCACAGACAGCACGAGGATATACCTTTTAGGGAGGGAAAGAGAAATGACATTTTCCTGATGTAAGTTTACAATCATGTAACTTTGAACAGGAAAGGTATTTCATTTTCTGTCTCTTCATGTTGAATCCTGAATTCGTTCTTCTATCTCAGATTGTTTGCCAGTCAGTCATAATCTGTGCTAGAATCCTGCGTTGTGAAATGCAGTCTGTATTCTGGGAATGGGCACAGTGGTTAAGTGAACTGATTGTAGCCATACAGAAAAGTCAAACCTGGATTTGAATCCTGGCTTTATCAGTTAGCAGCCGTGAAACTTTTGGCCAATAACTCTTTGTTTCCTCATCTGTAGAATAAGAAAAATGTCTTCTTCCATTGAATGTAAGGATTCAATGATAGGATTTATGCAGAACATCTGGTTTGTCACCTGACGTGTGGTTGATGCTAATTATATGAATTTTTTCTTCATTTGTTGTTGGCAACCATTTCTGAAATTCCCACATTCACTCAGTTTAAATCTCTGTTGAATTTCCATTTTTTCCCATCTGTGAGACGGGGATCCCACCCACAGCTGTGCTGTTGTGAGGACTGAATGAGAGCAGATATCTTTTCTCTTTCTTTCACAGCTGCAGGCAAGTCATACCAGCCTACAAGCCAGATACGATGAAACAAAGCAAATGCTGACAGAGGTGAGGAGATTTTCAGAACCGCTTTTGACCTGCACCACTAATGGAATGCCCTGTATCGTCAGTCTGTGTGGGGTCTCAGGGCTCGGGGCCATCTCGGGACAGAGGACAAGCACATGGTAGTGCATGACGCCTGCCCTCAGGTTACCCATGCTGCCACATTCTAAAGCCTCAGCCATCTTGGCAGGAGACATTGCCATGGGCCCTGAGGATCGGGAAGGGCTTCCTGCCGAAGGCCAGGCTGACGGGCAGGGCACGGGCCTCACAGAACTTGAAGGGCCCCTCACGGTAAGTGGCCCCCACTCTGCTACAACCTCCACAAGCCGCAGGCTGTAGAATAGCTTCGAAATCCTGAATTCCTAAAGACTGAGAGGGTTTCTTTTGATAAGATGAGAGAACTGCAGAGGGCTGTAATTCGTTGTTCAGAATTGCCGGTTTTCTTCTAGGCGGGATGCAGGACAGGGTCTCAGGAGGAGGGGTAGGGCGATGGGTATATTTCAAACCACATGGTCTGGGTTTCAAGTGTGCCATCTCCCATCAGCCATAGTGTTGTTTACCTCCCACTTCTCATTGCCTAGGCATCCGGGCCAGGAAAACAAACGCTTCTGATGCCCGCTCTGTCATGAGGGGAGTTTCGATATCTCTGTCCCTCACGTTTCCATAGAAAGCTGTCCTCATCTGGATCTGTTGGTCTCTCCTCGTTGTGATTTTGATTGTGCTCAAGCTCTAGCTGTACTCTACAAGGGCCACATGCAGGGGACCCCGCCCAGTACTTTCCGAACCATGTGGAAGCAGAACTGATCCTCAGAGACCTCTCTGAGACTAAGGCAACCCCCCTCCCTTTTCTTTAAATTTCATATGAAATTTGCCCACTTAAAATTCTTGTTTCTGTAGCCATATGTGGCACTGCCTTGCTGTCATGCTGACAAAACTTTGTAGTTCTGACCTGGGCTCGTCTCTTCAGTGATTGTCGGAATGTATGAAAAGGGCAGGCCAAAGAATGAGAGTTAGAATGAATTTTTTTTTTCATTCTTTCCAAAGATGCCTGTGTTGCATTTGGACAGATGAGCTCTCTTTACGCTGCTCAGTGACTGCATTCCTATGGGCTGGATGGCAGACTCCTGGGGTGGAACCCTTCCACTATCTAAATGTTAATGCCACAGAGTCCCTGGCATGAAGTTTGCCAAGTCATGGATCAGTTTTTGTATAACCATCTGGGCGAGATTAAAGGCAAAGCATCTTGACATAAATCCTAAGTGGCTCTGAAGTCGTTTTCTTTGTACTAAATCGGGTATTTGTTGAGCTACTTTCATGTGCTAGAAGGGTAGGGAGTGTGATTTAAGTCAATAATAGAGGGTGGTCTTCTTATCCTCAGATGATCATAACAGCCAACATCAGTGTGTGCTGGGTGTGCTCTGGGCACCTCCCTTGTACTAGTCCCCTGACTCCGTGACCACGCTAGCAATGCTGTTACCATCCCTGTTCTGCAGATGGGGCATTGAAGCCGTGCAGAGGCTTCTAGAACTCCAGCACTGTCTGTGTAGCCCCAAAGACTTCTCTGAGGGCTCACTCTGTATAGTAGGGCAGTCACACTAAGTCCCATCTAGGAAAATGGGATCTGTACCAAACCTGGCACTCAGCAACTTCTGAAGAAGCCTGACTGGTCAGAATACTGAAGACCAGACCCCTGAATAAGTAATGAACTTCATTACTTATAAGGTCTCAGCCTCCTTATCTGTTCCATTCAAGGATTGGCCAACACAAGCACTCTGACCCCTTTACCCTCTATGTGCCCTGGTTTCACCTTCTCAGCGACACCTGCTCTCCCAGGGTAACCTGGCAGCCCCAAAAAACAGGGAAGACCTGTCTTTCTGGCAGATTGGGTAAAGTCGAGCAGGGCAGGGAAGGTCAAGGACAGGTGGCAGCATGTGACACCCATGGGGAGGCTGCACACCCCTGCAGCGGTGGGCCGCCCACATCTAGCCTGTCCACTTTTTAATTTCGGCAATCAGGACTTTAATTTCCTGTGTGTGAGGTTGATTCTTTGTAGCATATGCAGTATTCTCTCCCATTTCTCTAAGGGCATTAATTGTGTCTAAGGTTTTTCTTGATCTATAAACTTTCTTCTGATCAAAATTCATTTGTTCTATCTTTCTCATTTGTGGTTTTATCTTCCTTCACATGTTTGATAGTTCTTGGTGGTATGCTTATCTTTGATTCTGAAACTTCCCGTTACCAGCTGTGTGGATTCTGTCCCCATTATCTGCAGCCTGCTTCGTGTGATTATTCTGGAAGGGTGTGTTCTACTGTTGGGTGAGATCAGCCAGTAGTAAGTGGTATTTGGCACCTGGGCACTCTGCCTTTCACCTGGGTCTTGCCGATTCTGGGAGCCTGCCTGCCTCTGGGACTTGAGCTCCAGCTCAAGGTTAGGGGAGCCAGGCTTCACTGCTTAGCCCAGCTGGCCCTCCCACTGTGATCCCAGCCCTGCAGACCATCCTTCCTGTGTCTGCTGATCCCACATCACAGGCCTCCTCAGCCCTGCCTCTCTGTTGGCCATCTTCTTAGCCCTGAGATACCTGCTCCCGTAGTTGAGCCTAATTGGGTTTTTTAGGACTTGAGGCAAGAAGGGCTGATTGCAACTTGTGCTCTTCTGTTTTCAGCTAGTACCCTTGGAACCTTTTTTAACTTGTTTTTTGGTTTTGGGGGGGTTTTTTTGAGTAGGTAACAATTCACACAGTTCAAAATTCAAAAAGTACAAAGGTTGTACCGCTGTAACCCAACCATATAGTTACCCGAGGGTAACTAGTCTCTTATGAATCTTTTCAGAAATATTTCATGCATATACAAGTAACATGTATATCCTTTTATACATGTATACATTCAGGGTATGCATTCCCTTTTACACATTGGAAAGACATGGCATTGATGTTTTGTACATTGTTTTCTTCCAGCTAACAGTAGCTCCTGGAGATAAATCATCATAAAAGAGCTGCTTTATTCTTACTTTTTTTTTAGCAGCTTAGCATTCTGTGATATAACTGTACACCTTATAAATGGAAATCTGAGTTTCTTTAAAATTTCTATTTTTAAATCCTCACTGTCTGACTCAGAAGAAGAAAGTGAAGCTATTCAAGAAGATGGATTTAGGGGCGCCTGGGTGGCTCAGTCGTTAAGCATCTGCCTTCGGCTCAGGTCATGATCCCAGGGTCCTGGGATCGAGCCCTGCATCGGGCTCCCTGCTCGGTGGGAAGCCTGCTTCTCCCTCTCCCACTCCCCCTGCTTGTGTTCCCTCTCTCGCTGTGTCTCTCTCTGTCAAAATAAATAAATAAAATCTTCAAAAAAAAAAAAAAAAAAAAAGATGGATTTAACCTACCCCTGCTCAGAGCCATGACCGTGGTAGTGTGGCATTTCAACCAGGTCTGTCTCTTGTAGCCTCTTCTTATTTCCCCCTTCCCACTGACCTGCCGAAAGGCACCTGCTGCCGGCACTACTTTTGGCTTTCCACCCATCTGCTGCTGTGACTTAGAGCTATTGCCAAGGTTTCTTGTACCAAAAGGGTCTGGTGTTGAGCTTTCCGTGCCGTCCTCCCCACCCCATCCTGTTACTCTCGTCCACCTATTTTCTCCAGTGTACAGCCGGGTCTGGTGGGCTGGGCCAGCAGCCAGAAGTGGGGCGCAGATGTGAGCCTGGGGAGGGAGGACGCACTCACTCTGCTGTCCTCCCCAGTCCCTAGCAGCAGCACCTCCTTTCTCTCTCGCAGCTGAAGCATCACAGTGAGAAGCTGGACAAAGAGCAAGCAGCCCTGGAGAAAATAGAATCCAAAGCAGATCCCAGGTGAGAGGTTTCAGCCTGTGTGTATTTTCTCCTTGAAGAAAATAAGTCTGCCAGTGCCTGGTAGTTTATTTTGTTTGAGCACAGGACCAAGGAGCCCAGGATCATTGCCTCCAGCCCCACACAGGTCATTTCCTTCCACACGCCCGATCCAGAATGTGGCGACTCCCCGTTGCTTGGGCACGTGCTGACATATGGCGCCGCTGCACGGAGCTGGCCACCTCATTCTCCTGATTCCCCTTGGGAGCAGAAGCAGCACATTTTTGCTTTTGCTTTTTTTGGTTTTTCTGTTTTTAAGAACCAAAAAATACATTCACAGAACAAAAAGGCATGTGGTGAAAGTCTTCCTCCCACCCCCCATGCCCCAGCCACCCAGTCCTCCTCCTTGGCATCAACCCTGGCTGCCAGAATTTTTACTGTTAACATTTCAGCCCCACCTCCTTGGGATTAAAGGTGCGGTATTTTATTTATTTATTTATTTGTTTGTTTGTTTATTTATTTATTTATTAACTAAGGAACAGCTGCTGGGCTTTTTTTTCATTTTAAATTAATTGTCTTTAACAATTTAAATTACATACAAGATACACTTACATTTGACCTTTTTAGCACCAAGTCAGTGAGGTGGTCAAAGCTCCCTAGGTGTCACTCATTTGAATGATAAAAAGCCTCAGGCACAGATTGAGCAGCCCCAGATTTGAAGGACATTTTTAGCAAAGAAGTACCCACATATTACGTGGCTTGATAATTAGAAACCCTTCTTTTTTTTTTAGATTTTTTTTTTATTTATTTATTTGAGACAGAGAGAATGAGAGACGGAGAGCATGAGAGGGAGGACGGTCAGAGGGAGAAGCAGACTCCCTGCCGAGCAGGGAGCCCGATGCGGGACTCGATCCCGGGACTCCAGGATCATGACCTGAGCCGAAGGCAGTCGCTTAACCAACTGAGCCACCCAGGCGCCCCAATTAGAAACCCTTCTTTCATGATATGGAGCAAAGTCCTGTCAGATACTTCATGTTTTTATTTTCCAGTTAATTCTTTTATGACCCTAAGTAATTTGTTTCCTTTTCATGGAAATTAGGAACAGTTTATGATGCTGTCTATGCTCTGAGGACTGTTGAGTAATTGGTACCAAGGAGATCCAGGACTCTTGAAACTCATTGATGTTTCTGAAGTTGACATTTTAACTCTGGGTTCTGTGATGTTTGTTTGGACAGGGCCTGATGGACTTGGGTATATAAATGAGTAATAATGTCAGTTAAATGGTAGTCCTTATCATTTGTGGAGAACCCATTAGACAGTCTTGGGAGAGACAAAGGAAAATAAAAAGGGATCCCTCTTTAGCTGGGGGCTTGGTTTTAGTTGTGATTCAGAAAATCGTAACAGCTTTCCATATGTCATTGTTGGGTCTTCTCTCTTCAGTATCCTGCAGAACTTGAGAGCACTTGTAGCCATGAATGAAAATCTGAAAAGTCAGGAACAAGAGTTTAAAGCACATTGTCGAGTAAGTGTTGCTTGATGTCAGCAGACCTTGAACCAGGACTCTTGTGAAATCTCTCACCTTACACCCCCTTATCTGTTGTGGCGTCCTACTCGGCTGCCATCGGAAAAGTGGAATCCTGGAGCAGTTCTGTCAGTTGTGTAGGATGAATAGGGTGCTACAGTGGGTGCCCCCCCAGGGGTGCCGGAAGGGAGTGAGATTAGTAACTGGGTGTTCCAAACCCCAAATTGAGAGCACAGTCTAACAAACACTAATTTACAAACAGGTGTGTGTGTGTGTGTGTATAATAAAGTCTTAGAAAGTGTGAAAAAATAACATCATGTGAACCCAGGGCCGTCCTGTAAAAGTAGGTTGTCTGTGTGTCGTGTGTGTGATAAGCCCTAGCTCCGGGCGGTCCAGCAGAGGGGCGGTGCGTGCACAAGTCCATTTCCTAGCTTGTCTGAGTTTTGTAAATGTTTGTTTCACTTTTAAAGGAGGAGATGACACGGCTGCAGCAGGAAATTGGAAACCTGAAAGCCGAAAGAGTACCAGGCGGAGAGGAGAAGGTAAGTACAGGCTCCAAAGGACCTGTTAGGTGCTATTGTGACTTCTCAGTGGAAGGATTTCTGGGGGACTGCAGCAGAGAGTCTGATGCTAGGGACCGGCCAGTTTCCCATAACCTGGTCCTCTGAACACACACTTCCCAACTGTTTTCAGCACAGGATTTTCTTAGATTTCCATGCCTCCCCTTTTTCTTCCGCTGGTGGGTAAAAGGCAGCAGTGGGTGTGCACCAAGCAGCCACCCCAGACGGGAATAACCAAATGACAAGTCTGGCCTCTCTCTCCATTTAGGGAAGGGGTATTTCTAGGAACTCTGAGCTCTCTTTGCCAGGCAACCTGTTCTCTAAGTGTTGTACGGCTTTATTGGTCCCATCCTCCACTCCTGCCTAGGGATAGGCCCCACCCCTAAAAGGCAGCGGGAAGTAGAAAACAAGAGGTAACGTCAGAGCCCCAGCGGCACTGAACATTGCTGGACGTACGAACACGTCCGACCAGCTGCTCTCAGGACAGAGGACTTACTCCTCCGAGGAGCTAGTGTGAGTTTCCATTAAAAGTTAAGTTAAAACACAGGCCAGAAAGAAAAGTGTTTCTCTCACCAAATAAGATTGTAGGGATTGCTGTTTGTGTTTCCCCTTCTCACACTTCATTCCAAGCTCATTCGCTGAGGCCCCCTGTGCTTAGGATGCGCGAGCTGGATGTGGTCTCAGAGTCTGTTGACTGCACTCTCTCCCTTGAGAACAGGCTCAGGCAGCTCAGGGCTCAGGAAGGGGATGAGAGGGGTCCGAGCCAACCAGCACCTGTCCGCGTGCCCTCCAGTCAGGGACCGTGCCCCTGGCTGTGTAGCATGTAGGTCTTGGAGGTGCCTCCATCCTGGTGGCACGGGACTGGCGCGGAGGAGTAGCAGAGTCTGGCCTCCCAGTGCAGTGGTGTCCTGGGACCGTCATCACACAGCGGGCCTTTCCGGTTGTTTCTAAAACTGAACCTTTAGGGCTCAATTCGTCAGTCCAGTCAGCCTCTGAGTTTGTACAAATCAGACTGACAGGATCCTATTTCTCTTCTTAGCAGTCACATCTTGTTAGAGGGATTATTACGTTCAAAGACAGTTGCCGTTTAGCTTGTTTGGGTGTGACACCCATTTAAGAACAATTTAAAATCTGGGGCCCAAGGACCCGGTCCCCCACCCCCACCCCTTCCTACAATGCAGACCCACAGCTTCTGTCCCATTCCCCTTACTCAGGAATGCGTGCATTACTTTTCATCGTTTCAGAGCCTGTCTGCTGGAGAGCCACATGGTGCCCTAACCCCTGGGATGACTCATAATGTAAGTACCCACCCATTCTCAGCACTGCCATTGTCCTCCACGGGAGTGGTGGCCAGCCCTGTACCCTCCCCTGACAGTTTCTCAGGCCGACTGAAGTTTTCTCTATGACCACCACTTCCCGTGCGGGCTCTCGGGGGGCCCCTCAGATGGAAGCAGGGTCTCCGCAGGGATGGTTCTGGAGACCGCCATTCTGGTGGGTTTTCTCCCTGCACTTTGTGCAGGCATTCTGTGTCTGCTCGGGCATCTCAGCTGAGAAGGGGAGAGGCGTGCCTTCACCACACAGGCTGGTCACAGCACGTAGGCTCTGAGGGGTGGGGTGCTGCAGGGGGAAAACTCTCTACTGTACTACATTCCAAGGTCAGCAAACTGTAAGGGGCCAAATAGGAAATATGTTCAGCGTGGTGTGCCAACCCCGCTGTAGCAGCCGTAGTCAGTCTGGAAATGAAAGAACATGGCTATGCTCCTATGAAACTATTCACAGTGAGGTGAATTTGGCCCAAGGGTTGTATGGTTTAGCTCATGGGCAATAGTTTGCTGACCCCTGTTCTGAGTTAAACCAGTGCTCCCCACCCTCCAAAACAAACATCCAGGAGAAAGAAAAAAAGGAAAAAGAGGAAGAAGAGCAAAGCAGGAAAGCTCTAAACACTTGCCTCCTTTAATGTTTGCCTCTTCCCTTTGTGCCCTCAAACTAGAGAATGCGCGTCAGGAGTCCTGTAGTACAGTCGTGTAGGGTTTGTGTGCAGCTGAGCCCTGTGGGGGAGACTGAGTGTGGGGGTGTGTGCTCACGTGTACATACATGTGCTGGGGGAGAAGACACCTCTGACCCCTTTCATAGCTTTCTTTGATGTAGCAAACCATCTAACCATGTCTTACCTCATGGGGCTCAGTGAGAGCCAGTTCCTCTCTCGTACTTCAGTGCTGTCCAAAAGAACTTTCTGCATTGATGGCAGTGTTCTGTGGCTACACTGTTCAGTATGATAGCCACTAGCTCCTTGTGGCTGCTGAGCACTTGATGTGTGGCTATTGCAGTTGAGAAACTGAATATTCTTAAATTTCAGTGAATGTCAATTTAAATAACTACACACAGCTAGTGGCTAGCATGTTGGACAGTGTAGCTCTAGGTAGAAACATAGAAAGCAAACCAGTGTCACTATAAACACGGGGACTTAGAACAACAGATTCTTTAAGTAATAATTATCTCCTTATCATCATAGTTTTGGGGGGGCACATAAATTTGGGGGATACTTCACATAAGACCCAGACTCTAAACTCGGCCTTCTGAGAAAAGAAATTTGGGGCCTCAGAATGGAGAGATATGATAAAAATATTCAGTTCCAAAAGACTTTATCAAAGAATGAAAGTTTCCTGCTCTCAGATAATTGTGTCCTTTTCCAATTTTTAGGAAGACCTAGACAGACGGTATAACATGGAGAAAGAGAAACTTTACAAGATCCGTTTACTACAGGTAAGTGAAAGCAAGAGCAAAAAAACACATAAATACACTTATCTGGGTATCCCATAGAGAACTAGGAAGTCTCAGTATCTAAGAACGACAAGTACGGAGGCTGCGGTTTGCCAGTGTTCTGTCTGGAGTGGAACTATGTGGTTTAAGATGTTGACAGTAACATCTCCCATCGGTACGTTACTTTCACGGTCATCTCGATGGATTTGATCGAGATCTCTGGGTGGAGAGTAGCTATTAGCTTCATTTTCTATATGAAGTAATTCACTCAAGTCAGTTAAGTACTTGTCCAAAGTCAAGAAGCTAGTAAGTGCCAAAGCCAGCCTTCAAGTTCCAGAGCTCTGTCTAGTACTTTTCCTCTAAAATCACGTGCCCATTTTAGCGGTCTTATTTGATAACCTTGGAGATTTGTAAGAAAGCCATCAAATGTGGTTGGTTCTAAAGCTGAAGTCACACAGAGTCAAAATTTCTTTGCAAAATCCCTGGCATTGCCAGAATCTGGCTCATGGAAGCTCAGAAGCCCAGAGTTAGCTCGTGTTGTCCTTTGGCTTGGGTCTTCTCCCTGTTCTCCGGGAAGAGAAAGCCAGGCTCTGACGGGAATGGTCAAAGGGCTGCAGGGGCTAGTGAGCCCCTGTCTCTCCTATCTCTGGCTCTTGCTTAGTTTGCTGAGCTGTTTGGTTAAATTTGGGTGCATCAGATTTGTCCTTGATACAGGGACACTAATCTTTAAAGAAACAGAATTAAATGAAACCAGGAAAATACACAACTGCATACTTGAAGACTTTGTGACTATGTGCTTACTGTAAGTATATTCAGTGTTGTGTTAGGCACCAGGAATAGTAAATGGGATGGCCCATCTTCTGGGAGCTGGCTGGCTATTTGAGAACCACGATATGTCCCTATACATCAAATACAAGGGAGTTGATATGCAAATTGCCAATCATGGGCAGCTTCAGACTCCCTAGAGGGAAGCTACAGTAAAACCATAAGCCTGCTGGGGGCCTGAGCCAGAGTGGGGACCGTGGGGCTGTGCGGACATGAACTGGCATGGGAGAGATTGAAAAGCCGTATCTGATGGAACTTAGCACCAGCTGAGTCAAAGAAACAGAGGAGTCAAGGATGGTGCTTGAATTTCTGACTCGGGTGGGTACTTGTATTCATTGAGAAAAAGCATTTAAAAAAGAACAGGGTTCAAGGCGGTGTGTGTGAATAGGAGTGTTATTGAGATCTGTTTGCGGCTCTTGAAAGTTGGGGCACTCAACCAAGTAGAAATGTCCAAGAAGTGATCGGGTGTCAGGTCTGATGCTCAGGGTAGTCTGGGCTGGCCATTGGGTGGCAGCACTATGTTGGTGGTAACCAAAGCTGTGACAGTGGGGTAAAACCTGTGTAAGGACAGGCAGAGGAAAAGGAGGAACTCCCCAGTGAGGTAGCTGGAGGCATGGGGGGAAGCCAGGGTCTTGTGGAAGCTGAGCAGAAGGCTCAGCAGAGAGAATGGTAAATTTTGCTAGAAATCAAGAAAGCTAGAAGCTGACAATTATCCATGAACTGTCTCCCAGAGAAGGTCTGCGGTGACTTAGTGAGAGCAGTGCGGCAGATGTTGGGAGAAGCCAGCTGCCAGTGGGGAGAAGGATGACTGCAGGCGTGGGAGCAGCTACAGGCACTGGGGGTGCTGGCTCTCAGGAAGTTGGGCTGCTGTTGCAGAAGAAAGAGCCTGCTGGGGCGCCTGAGTGGCTCAGTCGTTAACATCTGCCTTCGGCTCAGGTCATAGTCCCAGGGTCCTGGGATCGAGCCCCACATCGGGCTCGCTGCTCTGTGGGGAGCCTGCTTCTCCCTTTCCCACTCCCCCTGCTTGTGTTCCTTCTCTTGCTGTGTCTCTGTCTGTCAAATAAATAAATAAAATCTTTAAAAAAAAAAAAAAGAAGAAAGAGCCTGCTAGCTGAAAGGTGATCAGGACTTAGCGAGGGGCTTTTGAGGGGTGAGGGACCTTAGCCTATCTAAATGCTGGTGAGAAGGGGGAGCCAGTAGAAAGGGAAAGATTAAAGATGCAGTAAAAACAGTAAGATTCTTGGGGGGAAAAAAAAAGACAAAAATTCAGGAGTCAGAGCCTGAGCACCCAGGGACAGGGTAGCCTTGGCCAAAAGGACAAGCACATTTTTCCCTCTGACCAGGGCCACAGAGCCCCTACTTTGGGTTTGGTGGGTTTCTCCCCAGGAGGCTTGTCTTTCCCCAGTACTTAGAGACCCCCACGCGCTGTTGTAAGCAAGGCAGACGGGAGAGCGAGATGGGGTGGCACAGAAGAAAGGGAACAGTGTGGGAGCCCATCCACACCACACCCCTCTACCTCCCCAGGTGCCATCAGTGGCCAGTTTGGCTACTGGACCCCCAGTCCATGGTAGGGCGAAAGTGCGAGAAAGATACTGTAGGAGTAAATTGTAGGAGCTTTTCAATAGGCTAAGGAATTTGGAATTTATATGGAGGCAGCAGGGTGGCATCCGTTCCTCGTCATCTGGGAAGCCTTCCTTTTCATTCCTGCTCCCCACCTGGTGATGGTAGAATCAGCTACTCTTGAGTCCTTTGGGGCCTAGAGGGACGGCCGAGGGCTGTCCACAAAAGCCTTTCCCATGTAGGATCTTCTGCCCCTAGCCATTCATTTGCTGCCTTCTCTGGTTCTAGTTCATAGCCACACACACACCTTCTCCGTGTGTCACAAAGGGGGAGGAGGGTCCATCAGAATCTGAGATGGGGACCTCAAGCCAATAGCGGTTTTTTGGGTGGGGTGTGTGGTTACGCTCAGAAGGAGGTGGGGGCAGTATTTTGGCTCCCCAGAGAACATGTAAGACCTTTTACCAAATAGTATTGTCTCCCCCTTCCTTTTGCATTTAGGCTCGAAGAAATCGAGAAATAGCAATTTTGCATCGCAAGATTGATGAAGTACCCAGCCGAGCTGAGCTAATACAGTATCAGAAGAGATTTATTGAACTCTACCGCCAGAGTAGGTGCATTGACCACAAACACTCTCAAGACTGGTCCTGGGAGGCACCAGAGGCGAGGGTTCTGTCCCATGTGAGCGTGGGAGGGCATGCATCATAGCATAGTTGGTGAAAGCCACCACTGGAAGGGGCTCCCTGTCATCATCAGGCCCCCCCGGCCCTCATTCCACATAACCCACTGCTAAGTGACCCTTAACCCCAGGAGCAGCATTAGGGTGCTCTGCCGCCCTCTCTGTGGACGGACTGAGCTAACTGAGCTCTTAGCATGACGTTTCGAACCCGCCTTCTTCCTGGTCAGCCATTGGGCTCCACTGAGCTCCCCATCCTCTTTCCAACCTCCCACGGGATGTGAGCACTCCATGATAGAGCGTCTCTGGATCAGTCCTCACTCATTGTTCTTCTGGATGAACTTTCTTGCCCTTGTGATCCTTGACTTTGACAGCACTGTATTCACCCAGTAATCCAGGACTGGTCTCTCTTGGCTGGAATCAGTGAGCTGGCCTTGTCAGGTTCAGAGTGACCCTCAAAGTTGTCACTGCCTATCTGTTCCCACTGCCACCCTGATAGCTGTTCTTATCTGTGTCAGAGCTCAGCTGCACGCTCGTTAGCCGGTCTGTATACCCTTGTCTGAGTCCCTCACCCACCACCTGTCATGTCCCCCCTCTCTCTGCTGTCCAGTCTTCAGGAGCTCACCGGGCCTCCTGAAGAAAATGTCTCTCCTTATTATCTCCAGAACCTCCCCAGTCTAAGTGGCCTGCCTGGAGGCCCCCTTTCCTTCTCTGAGCCCACATTCTGGCTTCCCCGGTCCACACACGGCCCCTCAGTACACCATGCATTTTGACACACAGCTTAGGCCACGACTCCTCTCGTTACCTATGCCTAGAACCCTTTCTCAACTCTGTCAGACCCAACAGATACAAAACTGAATTCAGCCTCCCTACCCTATTTCTCCTCCTGGTCACGGGGATCACTGTCTAGCAACCCCAGCCCCTTAGTCTTGTCTGGATCCCGCTGCTCTTCTGGTTCTGTTTCCAAGTAATGGTCAAGTTCATTTCTTCTGGACTACTGCTGTAGCCACCTTCTCATCACTGCCCAGAGTCTGCCCTCTTGTCTGAGAGGTCTTTCCCAAACAGAAATTTGATCATTTTACACTCTTGCTTTAAAAGCTTTAATATTTAATAGCTCTCCATAATTATTGGAGGCTCTTCAGATTCTAATTACACTGATCAGAGTCCTGCATCAGCCAGGCCAGCTTCCCTTACAGTCCCTCAGTGCCTCACCCCTCTCGTGAGGGCGTCTACATTTTGGCCTGTGAGTTTGTCCCCAAGTCCAGAATGCCACTGTCCTACAACTCCCACTTGGCAAACTCCATCCCTTCTTCCAGAATCCACCTCAGATTTTGTCTTGGGCCCTTGGCCTCTCGAACATCCTTCCTGGTTCAGGCCAGAGCACTGTCCTTACTAGGGTCAGAGTCATGCTTCCTTTCACGCCTGCCCCCATCCTGGTGTTGTACACGGCCCTCGAGCTTGATTCCAATGGTCAGGGACAAGTATCAACAGTGGCAGCTTCTCAGCAGAAAATAGTTTCTGCCCTAAGTTAAATCTTTTCCCTTAATTCTGTATCCCTGCCTACTTTCCAGCTTTTAACAGTAATAATAATCAACAATACCTTGCATCTGGATATTTCAGAGTAAAATTTGACACATGTTTAAGTCCTTTTGATAGGATATTTTTATACCAAAGAAATTTTTAAGCAGTTACACCAAAATATCTGTATCATTTTCATTATTATTATTATTGTCAAATATCTACAGCCCCCACCCAGTCCTTGATCTGAATAGAGGAAGGGTGACAGGCACATTCCTGAGCAACAAAGCTAAAGGTTGATTGGTTTATTTATGGCAGTGATTTTCAACCTTGGCTACACATTGTAATCACCCGATCCTGCCTCCATAAAATCTCAATTGGTCATGAGATTTTAAAAGCTCCCCAGGCTATTCTGTGTTTCAGCCAGGCTTGAAATCCACTGTTCTAAAGCTCTGAACAAGAGTAGTATTTTAGGGGCACCTGGGTGGCTCAGTCGTTAAGCATCTGCCTTCAGCTCAGGTCATGACCCCAGGGTCCTGGAATCGAGCCCCGCATCAGGCTCCCTGCTCCATGGGAAGCCTGCTTCTCCCTCTCCCAATTCCCCTGCTTGTGTTCCCTCTCTTGCTGTCTCTCCCTGTCAAATAAATAAAATCTTAAAAAAAAAAAAAAAAAGAATAGTATTTCATACTGAGTAGTTCATGTGGTAATTTTTATACAAATTAGACAGTTTGATATTGGGAGCATTTTTAACTGTTGCCTCAAAATACCTGTATCGGGTTATTAACCTCTGTTACCAAATACGTACAGCAGTATCTCCAGCCCCCGCTCATCTTTGAGCTGCACCGCTGTGGGGAGGCACAGCTCTCACTGGGTAATAAGATTAAAAGTTGGCTGATCGGCTTAAAGATTCGGGTTTAAATGTTAGTGGCAGTTGCCCAAGGAAACCACCAGTGCCCATGGCCTGCTCTGCCTGTCTCTCTTCTCCAACTCGTGCTGCTCCAGAGGGACCTGCGTTCAACAAGCAAGAGCCCCTGGGAAAGCAGACCCCACTGCCGTCCGGCCAGTGCCTGGTAACTGTTAGACATCAGGATCTTTGGTTACAGCTACATTGGAGGGCTCAGCTTAGGCCCAAAGCCTGATTGTGAATCCAGGTCTTGGGATTTTATCCCCCGCTGTATGCTAAAAGAACTCAGAGCGATGAGGAAGGCACATAGGCGCAGAGCCACGTGGGGGCCACCCATGCACCCAGCCACAAAGCAGGAAGACGAGCTGGGGCAGGAATCCTTCCCCGCTGACCTCGTCCTCTGGTGAATACGGCCCAGTCCCAGTCCTAGATTTGGGTGCTTTCCTCCTATGTCATTCTATAGGGAAGAGTGAAAAACAAGAGGTGGACAGAGATGCAGAGTAATTTTATAGGAAAGGATGTTGGGAGCCTGGTAAATAAGATCTCCCCCCTTAGTCATATGCACAGAAATGGGAAGAAAATTCATACTCCTTAGGCACATATTCTGCCCTAGGTTAGGCATGACATTCATCTAGTAGATATCTTGGAGGGCCTGCTGTATAGGCCCGTGCTAAGCATAGGGATTCCAAAAGGGAGCAGACTGTGGCTCCTGCTCAGGAGCAGTGTGGGAAGGGAGGACGCCACCTAAGCAGGAGGAGGTGGCATGGTGGCTTCCTCATCCTTGCCACCTTCCCCTCAGGGTGCCTCACCTGAGAAACCCACCCGTCCCACATGCTGCCAGGTTCCTCGTCCCGGCTGGGCCAGTCACAGCAGACCGGCTCCCGCCAGCCTGAAGCAACTCTGCACAGGCTTGTGTGCACGGTGGGGCTTCCACACAGATGCCTTGACACGCCGGGCTCCTGTGGGTGGGCCTCCTGGGGCAGGGGGAGCTTAGGATTGTTCTGATGCATTTTCTTATCCGTATGTTGATTTCTTTACGTTTACAGTTTCGGCAGTGCACAAAGAAACCAAGCAGTTCTTTACTTTATATAATACCCTGGATGATAAAAAGGTTTATTTGGAAAAAGAGGTAAGAACCTGTATGAAAAGCAGATAACTTAATCAGAAGGGCAGAGACAGGGCTGTTGACCCCAGGAAGCTCAGCCGAACTGAGTGGGAGGCGGTGGGCGGGCGTGGAACGAGCGCCTGCTGTGTGCCCCATGCTGGGTCACAGCCTTAGAGAGTAAGAGACGCTTCAGAGCTAATTTTGCACAGGTGCATGGGCTGACATGGGACTGGGGGACTGCAGTCTCGTGCCTTGTGAGAAACGATGTCTGGAGAGAGACTCAGAAGGCGCAAGTGGAAGGGGCCTGGGTTGGCAGAACTTTAGTTTGAGTTTTAAAGGAGTAGCCACATAAAATGGGCATGGTGGGCTCATTTGAGTTGACACGCCAGGAGTGAAAAGGGGTGCCCCAGGCACTGACACCCCCTCCACATTACTCTGACACTCAGGTTAAATCCACTCATGATTCAGGGCTCCCTCACATCAGATGACAGATGATTGGAGCACGGTGGCAGGGTGTGCAGCTGTGTTTTAAGGAAGGAAAAGGAACAATGTGGTCTTCATAGTAGCAACACAGTGGGATGGAGAGAGCATGCACTTTTCAGTTGGACAGATGGGGGTTTTATTCTGTAAGAGAGGGCATTACACCCGCTTTGCTTGACTGTGATGGAGACAGAATGGGAAATGATGGTGAAGGTCCTTGTATCTGGTGGCTCCGGACACATACTAGTTCTGCCTACCGCCTCACCTTGAGGTCAACAGAATCTGTTTCCATTTCATCGTCACTTTGCCGCCTGGACTGATTGCCCCCTTAAGAAGAATGATATCGCAGGTGCATCTTTCACGTGACCCCCAAATGGAGGCATGTGTAATTAATGTCAGCTTTCTTGGCTATTGTCAATCGAACAGATCAATCTCTCTCCCTAGAGGACACTTCTTGAGAAGGGGCATTGAGTTCTGTTTTTCTCTGTATCCGGGGTCATCCACAGTGACAGGCACATGATAGGCATTTGATAAATATTTGAGTATGAGATGAGTGCATTTGGTAGGATTTATGTCAGACCTGGGGGGGTAGCCCTGCCACACACTGTGGCCTTGGGGTCTTTCTGCCTAGTGAGGGGAAGACTTACCAACCCTAACTTAGGGACAGGCCAGCCCTTCTGAGAAAGCCCATCACCTTCCTTCATCAGTAGTGTTTAAAGTTATTGCATTCTTTTAAAAACTAGGAGTGTGCAGGGGCGGGGTGGGAGCCTTTTAATTCCAAGCCACATTAACATAGAACTTTGTATTTGCATAAATTGTGCCTTTTATTCCAAATCCATTTACGCCTGTGCTGTTTTAGCTTTCGAGCATCCCTGTGGAGTCCTAAGGGCAAGAATACCATTTCCGTGTTACAGACTCAGGTCCAAGTAGGGTCAATGACAAGCTGAGTTAGTGACACAGCCAGAAAGAAGATGAGGTTTCTGGCCCTCAACTCAGAGCCCTGCCCCGGACTGTATTGCTGGGGCAGAGAGAGGGTCCTCCTGTGCGGGCTAAGGCGTTCTCCGTGGGAAGGGGGCTCTCAGAGCCACCCAGCAGCTGGCCACATTGGGAAATTACAGGATGGGCACAGTGTCCTTGCTCTTCACCCCTAAGCTGATAGCCCTGAAAATAAAGAAGACTGTTTGGTGAGGAAGCAGGGACTGGTGGTAACTGCCCAAAGGGCCCTAATGGTAGCTGAGTGTCTTCTCTGCTGGAATTTAGGCCCTTCTGGGAGCCCTCTTCCTCCATTCCTGGGGTCATGGGCTGTCAGAAGGTAGATGCTCTGGGAAAAATTGTGGGACTAAGCACATGCTGCTCTTTTTCTCACGTTCTTTCATCTCTGTAAACAAGGTGCGCTGCTTTCAGAAGCAGTGTCAGAGACAAGACAGCCTTGCAGTGGTTGGGGCCATGCAGGGCTCTTTCTACCTTTTGCTTATGGTTTTTCCTTTTTCTCTTCCTTTCCTCCTCAGATCAGCCTGCTGAACTCCATTCATGAGAACTTCTCACAGTAAGTGCTGGCCGTCCTCCTTCCTGTCAGTACCTCGTTGTACCCTTCACTGTGCATTCGGCTCGCCTCCCTGTGACAGGAAGTACGAGGGGCGAGACGGGGCTAGACAGGTGGTTTTACACTCTCACCCCCACTGCAAAGTGCACCTGTGTCGTGCTTTACATGTTCTTGCAAAAATTTCTCAGCGTTCTTGCAAAAATACAGTGACGTTAGAGTGAGTTTGAGAAACACCAAGGAGTATCTTGGGGGAAAAAAGTAACTTTCAAGTAATTTGTGCCTCACTACTGTAATCTCTTCGTATATTACTTTTGTCTTGTTAAGATTAGATCAATACCATTAGTTCTTGAGCACATAAAGATGCGTCACAATTTAGATAATGAAATAATCTACTTTTTTAAAAGATTTTTAAAATCTAATGATAGGTTTTGTTTCTAGGTGAGTGTGCATCTTCCGAAGTACTTTATGCAGATAAGAATTCTTTTTCCCCAAAAATTGTATGGCAAGGCCCACCTGTACTCAAGTCGTACCAGCCCTCAAGCATGCCCAGTGGCCTGCTCACCGTCCGGCAGCCCAGGGCTTGCTGTCTATATAGCAGGCTCCCTTTGCTTCCAGCACAAACCTCTCTGCCCCTGGCAGGTGACCGGTGACTAAGATCTGAATGGATTACAAACTCCAGATCTTAAGCTTCATTTCTAACTACAAACAAACCAAAAAGAAACCACAGCTCCCTGATAAGATTCAGATTCAATTAGTGCCTTGACGTTTCTAAAAATGGTGCCTTCATCATTATTTCCTGGTAATTGAGAGAGGCTGCAGTGTGTGATGGTGCTGTGATGAGTTCTGCTCTGTCAGCCCGTCCTGTGGCAGAATTCTCAGTCCCTGCATCCCTTGCTCAGATCCTTGTGGCGCCGTTCCCAGCACAGAGCAGGAAGTGAAGGGGATGGTTTCAGGACACCAGGAAATCCACTCCTTTAGCTGCTGCCCTTAGAAACGAAAGCAGGTTTCCTGACCGTGGTTTTAGGGAAATCTCAGAGTATGTCTACCAGTCTTACGCAGTACCTCCAAATCCTCAGATTTCTAAAAACTAAATGGAATTCATTTCTTAGGCAGTGCATGTGATCATCAAAGTAAGAAGTATTTTTGTTGATTTTAATAACATTGTATTTTGCTTTAAGAAAATACATACTTAAGCAAATTGTAGAGAAAGCGAGGAAAACAGATTAATATTAATATTCAGTTATAAGAGGAGGCTAATTGTCGTGCCTTCCTCGGAGTTTAGAATCCCTAACTTCCTGGGACCCAGGGGCCCCCAGGAGTCCACCACGCCTCGCAAAGGCATCATCTGGGCACCGGGAGGACTCCTTGATGCCTCCCCCTTCCTCAGCGTCCTGCATGCTGGTCTTCACTCTGCTGATTGTTCCTTTCAGAGCCATGGCCTCCCCTACTGCCCGGGACCAGTTTTTACGTCAGATGGAACAGATCGTAGAAGGAATTAAGCAGAGCAGAATGAAGGTGAGAGGACTTGTTTTCTGTAGTGCAGCCAGGATCTCACACCGGTTACGGAGAAGGCCTTAGGAAGAGCAGGCCTCTTCTGCTTATCCTGAGAATGTGCTCCCAATCCTGAAGACACACCTTCAGTGTCTGCAGCTTGGATTCCCAGCAGACCTCCGACCCTGCAGTGGGCAGCACCAGCTCCACAGGCTGGTGATTTAATGGAAGCTCTCAACAGTAGCCCCACGGACTGAACATCTACTATGGGCCAAGCATGGTGCTAGTCCTCCTAGAAGCCTTCCTAAATGAGTAGTGTTACCCGCATTGTATAGATGAGGAAGCCAACTTTCACCAATGGACTTCTTCTCTTGCCCACTGTCTCTTCTTCACTGGATCTTTGGTTCCTGAAATTCTACCATTAGAGATTCATTCCTTAGGATGCTTGAGAGCATTTTAGTTTTCAGGAATCCTCTGTAAAAGACGCAAATAATTACTGAACTGAATTCTGAAGTGAGAGGATATTATGCCTCAGAAGAGAAAAGAGGAATTGATAAGCATTGAGAGTTCCAGAGATAGCCTTACAGAGAATCATTCATCCTGGGGCCAGCATGGAGTTTTCATCACTCTGTGGCTCTGCACTTGGGCCATTTTGACCGTAGTAAAGATTTGATGACTGTTTAGAAACCAGACGTAGCTACAGTTTTCTGCTGTTATAACCAGATGAGTCTTGGCTAATACTTCCGAATCTCTTACTTTTGATCCCTTTAAAAACGTGGATCACACCAGAGTGGTCCTCAGGCATGGCAGTCAAACTCTGGGGACTCGGCATCTCCTCTCTCAAGCTTGGGGCAGAGTGGTGCAAGGGGTGATGTCAGAATGCGAACACACGAAGGAGAGGGTGCCTGTAGAACTTGGCATCATAAAAACCCGCTCACAGAAGGCCAGCCTTCATGGTTCCTATAATCTCATCTCACAAGAGATGAACTAAGGGCAAAACCTCTTTATGTCCCTTTCCCTGTTGAAAATATTAATCTCTCCATTAACGACTTCAATAAAATGATGTCAGTGGAGGAAAAAAAAGAAATTACCACTAGTGACAAGACTGTTCAGCCCCAAAAATGAAAGCAGTCAAGAGGCAGCACGTGATCTGCCTTGTGCACGTACACAAACCCCAGCCAGGACGGTCCCTTCTTGATGAGCTAGGTAGGGTATAACGGAGGAGGAGGAGGACAGAGAGCCTAGCTAACCACAAGCCTTTAACGACCCAGATCACAGCGGGGCGGACCTTTCCGCCCTGCTGTCATGCCATCATGCTCCTCCTTAGGGAGCCGCTCTTTTTTCTTGAGAATGAAAGAGAGCTGGAAAGTGGGGGTCAAGGGGAGGGAGAGAGAATCTTAAGCAGGCTCCACCCCCAGCGCAGAGCCCGATGCTGGGCTCCATCTCACTACCCCCAGACCATGACCTGAGCTGAAATCAAGAGTCAGAGGCTCAATCCACTGAGCCACCCGGCACCCCGCAGAGCTGCTCTTGTCCATAGTAAAGAACACTGGGAATTGATTATTTTGTTGTTGTTTTTTTCTTTGGCTTCCCCCTCCTGTTTACCAGGAGATGCGTTCCTAGGAAAGGACGTGGATGTGATCCATTCATTCTCTCCATTCTCCCCCAGGCTTCATGCTGTTGGTACCTCAGTGCCGACCAGTGAAAGAGGCTGCTCTGTGTCTGTCTCCCCAACTAGATGGTGGGGTACGAGATGCCCACGGGCAGAGAGGGTTCTCTTCCTCATGTGAGCATCACCAGTGGCCAGCCCGGCACCTGACCCATGGTGGGCTTTCACGACCTGTTTGCTGAGTGAATGAATTCATTCAATTGACTGCAAAGGCAGTTCTCAAAGAGGGTTCCTGGTCAGGTTTGATTATTGGCCGGCATTTCAAATGCAAGAAGGCTGTCTTTGCAGGACAACATTCGTTTGGATGCATGTCTTTTGAAGTGTTTGTTTAAAAAATCATAGCCCTCCCTCTTTGGATGCCATGGTGGTTCCTGCTCAGAGTATATGTGGCAGGGGAGTCTGTGTCCTCATGGAGCACACACAGCCCCGGAATTGGTGGGTATGGGACGTGCACGGAGTAGACCACAGACCAGCAGTGTGTACATGTAACAGGAAAGGTGTGTACAGTGCACAGAAGGGCTCCTGAGTGAAGAGAGAGTCACATCCTGGAAGGCATTTTATTTTATTTTTTTAAAGATTTCACTTATCTGACAGAGACAGAGAGAGAGCACGGGCAGGGGGAGCGGCAGGCAGAGGGAGAGGGAGAAGCAGGCTCCCCGCAGAGCAGAGAGCCCGATGCGGCGCTTGAACCCAGTTCCCTGGGATCATGACCCGAGCCGAAGGCAGTCGCTTAACCAACTGAGCCACCCAGATACCCACTGGAAGGCATTTTAACCTCATCCTGAGGAGGTGAAGTCTCTGGCTCTCTGGAATACTGGGAGCAAGTGCTCCGCAAAAGAATCTAGGGTTCCCGACCTAGAGCGTGAAGGGGGATGAGCAAGGAGTGGAACAGTGGGCCTGGGGAAGGGCTTGCTAGGACAGTGTGAAAATAAAACTCACACCTACGAGTCAGCTCCTGATTCTGAGGGCTCTTACCGCCTGTTACCAAGCGCATTCTAGGTGTCCAGTATGAAGACAGAACAGTCTTTATTGAGTACTACCCTGAACCAAGTGCTGTGTCATTCACTTAACAACTAGTGTCATACATACCTTGTAACCTGTGATCTAGGTGATACTATCCTTATTTTGCAACTAAGGGACCTGTCATTCCAAAAGATGAAATAACCTATTCAGGGATACGCAGTGAGTGACAGAAGTAGGATTGGAACCCAGGCCTTTCTGGCCTCGAGGTCAGTCCGTTTCAGGGTTGCTACACTACCTTTCCTGGTTGGACCTGGGGACATTCAAATTAAATTTATTAAAGTGCCCTGTTTATGTTGCTAAGACATAGTCATTCATGGCCAGATTTTCTGCTGGAGGACAGAGCAGGCAGGAAAGGTCTGGGATCTATCTGCCAGGCTATGCGACTTAAAGGGTAGGGACCCAGCAGTGAGGTCCCACCCAGCTCAGCAGAAAAGGTTCCTAGCAGCTGTGGGAAGTGGTGACAGGAACCATAATCATCTGGACAGCATCAGGAAGCCTGCCAGAAGGGAGCAGGGCGGACTGCTGAGCCAGGGATGAGTGTAAGATGGCCCTGACCAGAGTCCCCGGGGGGACTGCCCTCCTCTGGGAGACCTCAGGGGCAGGCAGGTTACCAGACTCCAGACCTGGGCTCAGGCATGTGACCGGTGTCCATGTGCAGACCTGTGGAAAGAAGAGGGCAGGGGGCTCAGTAGGTCACCAGGTGATTTAGGAGCTGGATACATGGTCAAGAGTGGACCAGACAGATCAATGCCCATGTGGGTGGGATAGGCTGCGGGGATACCAGGTTGCAGTTCACCAGGTGATGGGCCCGTGGCCTGGAGAGGCAGATGACTGGGATACAGTGCAGCCAGTTCAGCTTTAACCTGGATTTACTGCTCCGTCCCTTCCAACGTGTAAGTCAGAAGCCCTGCTCGGGCATTAGAAGACCAGTGATTCCGTCTAGCATGCTCTTGAGCACCTGCTGCGAGCCAGGCACCAGCTGGCCCCCACAGCTTTCTGCCCTCACCATCTGGGTGATGCTCTCGCTTGCTGCTGGAAATAGTGCACATACCACTGCCGACTCTGCCCAGATGTCACCTCCTCAGAGAGCCCTCCATGACCATCCAGCTGAAGAGGCCGTACACCCACCCGCCTCTCTGTCCCCCAACCCAGTCACTCTCTTCACAGTAGCGATCATGAGTAGGAATTTGCACATGGAGCTCATTGCGCAAGGTGCTTGGTTAGCATCAGCCCCTCTAGCGTGCCACCACCCTCTGTGGGAGCAGTGATACCGCCTTGTCACCACCGTGTTTAGTCCTCAGGGTGACCATGCAATATCTGTTGGAAGACTAAGCTGTCAGGTACCTTAGGAAAGTCTTTAACCCAAATCCAGCCTTTTGTTTATGAGGTCACTGTCCTGGAAACACTCTAAATTTTCCACCAATAGAAAAATGGGTAAGGTAGCAGTGTGATTGGGAATATTGTAGAGTTTTTAAAGTTTTGATTGTTGAAAGTGTAAAATAGCATGGAAATACTTACATTGAATGAAAGAGGACTCAGTTATTTACATAGGAGTTTCTCAACCTCAACACAATTAACATGATGGGCCAGATGACGCCTTGTTGTGTGGGGGCTGTCCTGCATGTTGTAGAAAGTTTAGCAGCATCCCTGGCTCCTAGCAGAAGGTACTCTCTTCACAGCTGTGGCCATCTAATCCATCCCCAGATCCCACCTCATGCCCTTCAGGGGGCAAAATCACCCCTGGTGGAGAACCACCAGTCTGTTGATTGTGAAATTGTAATCGCACACACACACACATACAGATGGGACAGTTAGTGCCCAATGATAGAATTGCTGAGTAAATTAGAGAAACCGCTATGTAATACCATGCAAATAAATAGGTCAATCTCAGAAGTGATGTAAAGAAGTCCATGAAAATGTTGGTAGTAGTACCTTTTGGGTGTTGCCTGCAGGCCTTGGTCACTACATGCCCTTCCTCACCATTTCCCAAAATGTTTCAACAGATGGAAAAGAAGAAGCAAGAGAACAAGATGAGAAGGGACCAGTTGAACGACCAGTACTTGGAATTGTTAGAAAAGCAGAGGCTGTACTTTAAGACTGTGAAGGAGTTCAAGGAGGTAAGAGGGAGATAGGGCAAGGCAGGGAAGGCTGTGGGGGGATTTGTGTTCATCTCAAGAGGAGCCTTTAAAAACCAGAGTGGTTGCCTGGTTTCCCACTGGTCTGGGGATGGGTAACAGCAGGTTGGCAGTGTGATCCAACAGTAAAGTACCGCATCTAGGTAGTTCAGGACTGCGTGGTTCGCTGGCCCATCTCGAGTCTCGAATTGAACGTTCTGAGAGACATCACAACTTTATTTTCATTCCCCTAACGTTTAGTAAGCATATTAAACTCACAAGTAAAATAGCATCAGAGGCCACCTGGAAGCAGCATTTGTTACACATTCAGAGCTGGAATTTTCCTTCCCCCCCATCTGAGGTGGGGGAGGGACCTTGAGAAGCCTGTGGGAAGAGTGAACTTCGAGCAAGGCAGGCTTGGGTTCGAGCCCTGCCTTTACCACTTACCAGCTGTGCACTTGGGCAGTGACTGAATGCCCCCACACCTGTTGCCTCGTTGGTGGGTTCTGCTGGGTCAGGTGAGGGGTGAAAGCTTCTAGCACTCCGTCTGCCTCCTGTAACACCCAGTGCTCAGCTGAATTTTATTTGTCCCCATCTTTTTCTCCCTGCATTTGGACAGGGTTACTCTCCATGGGTCCAGAAAGAAAAGTTTTGCCCTTTCCTTAAGAGATTTTCTGGAAAGGAGACTTCATTGTGTCACTTACTAGGATATCAGCAGCTTCATTTTCAGGAATTCCTAACCCAAATCCATGTGGTTTCAGTGAGTATAGAGATTTTGCTAAATATAGAGGGGCTGGAAGTGTCGGTTGTAGCCTGGTGTTAGGTCCACAGAATAAAAATTAGTCTTTTCATACCAATAATTTTATTCCTGTATATTTTTAAAAACTTGTTTCCCTCCCTCCCTTCCTTCTTTCCTTCCTTCCTGATTTTTCCTTTTCTACTTCTCCTTTCCTTTTTTTTAAATTTAACTTGTGGAGGCCACAACCCATAGACATTTCAAAATCTCTCACACTTTCCATAAATGATCTTCCTGCTCCTACCGTGCCCCTGGGGATACATCAGGTTGTTAAACAGACCCACTCTCTGTGTCAAGGAGCTTGTGTCATGGTTGGGGAGACAGATAACAAGCTAGGAAACACAAAGCCTAGTAAACAAGTAATAACCAATGAGAACTAATTTCAGTTTTTGCCGGGGGTGGGAGCACTAATGGAGATGGTGTGGTCAGGGCAGGTCTCTTTTGGTGCGGATTTGGCCATGGGCACAGCAAGAGTGAGACCTAAGGCCAGGCAGCTGGAAGAGTGACTGGGTGATGTGCTTGGGTCTAGGAGCCCCTTGTGGTTAGCGGGCATTGGAGCTGAAGTTTCGGAAGGGCTAGTGAGCGAGCTGGCAGGGATCCAACAGGACCCTCCACTCCCCCTCAGAGCTCTTTTCCCTCTTTAATGCAAGTAACTCAGAAAAAAGGCCCAGCGGGGAGGAATTAAATGTTGCTGGGACACGCCAGCACTACCCTTATGACAGCAGAAACAAAAAGCAGATAAGTTGAGGAAGATAAGTATAAGCTGTCAAAATCAAAGCAAATAAAAGCGAAATGGAAAAGCTCCTTCTCGCACTATGCGCTCTCAGGGCTGAAGGCTAAAGATGACCTCCCAAGGCAGAGGTTCCTTCAGAGACGGTAAGCATCAGGCTTTCTGTGATCCTGCCTCCCCAGGCGCAGAGACCCTCGCGTCAGAGAGCATGCGTGTGTCCCTCCGGGCCGCTGAGACCCCTAGACCATGTGCCTGCCCATGCCATTTCCCTCCGTCCAAAGCTCGTCGGGGAAAAAGGGAAGGGGAATATATGTTCTTCAGACAACTGAATAGATTTCATATAAAGGACTCACCTTTAAAAAAAAAAAAGAAGCATATTTTCTTGTTTTTTGACATGAAAATGATAGTATTTATTCTTTATTTTTTAACATTTTACTTGGCAAAAACTTAAAATTAGCAACTGCGTGTCTGTCCTGAATTCTTAAACTTTTTCCACCCACTTCTCTGCGGTGACTCGGCCCCTCCTTGGGGCCACCGCAGCTTGAGGAAGAAGCGCTGGCGGAGGCTCACGGCTCCCCAGTTTCCACCCCATTCCTTCAGCCGGAGTAATTGTGCTGTTTTACAGACGGCAGTTACCAGATAAGATCTCACGTGTGGTAGATTGGTCTGAAGGAGCAGACTTTCATCCCAGGGCAGGGTCTTCTTCCAGAACCCTCTCTGTCTGCTTTCTTTCCTGCCTGGTCTCCTCCTGGGTTCTAAATCCCTGCCGCATCCTGGTCTCTGGCACTTGTGGTGGCTGCAGGTACTATTCATGCAGAGCGCAGCAGCATCGCGGAGCACGGCCCTGGCCACCTTTGTCGTTCCCTTCATCAGGTCTGGCGTACTGCACGTTCACTGAGCAGCTCCAGTGTTGCCCCCTCATCCTGACCCCCAGCCTCCCCGGCTGTCGAGGCACTGGTTAGAGACATCCAGTGACCTCTAAGTTTCCAGTGGCTTGCTCATCGCAGCAGGTGTGATAATAGCAAGGCGGCCAGGGAACAACACGTACTCTGAAATCTCTTTAATTGCCGTATTACGTTAAGTAATTACGTCTCTAAACCACGGTCTCTCATAAGGTCACCAAAGCGAGCTTTAAACTCTAGCCTAGCACTGACGAATGCAGGCCGTGCATTTCCATGAAGCTGACTTTGAGTACATAGTTTCGAGGGGGCTGAAGTGCCGTGTCTGGCACATGGTGGGCCCTGTGTGGTCTTGAGTAGGACAGAAACAGAGGCAAGTTTTTTCCCTTCTCTTCTGGAAAGAAATGCCTAAAGGACCCTTTCTGCATTTGCTTTGAACAGATGGACAGTATCATTCTGTAATTTCCCCAAGGGCCTCCGGTAGATTGCATGAAACTTCATGAGCGCTCACACAGAGCAGGTGACGGCCCAGGATACCCGTACTGGGAAGTTCCGGCACCATCTCAGCTTTGTGTACATAGACTGGCCCCTGCCGGGGACGCCACCACAGGAGCATGTTGATGCTGCTGAGCTGTTTTTGCCTCATTTAAAAGTTCAAGTGGAAAAAAATAAAATAAATAAGTGAGCCCTAGCACAAAAAATTAAAAACTGATTTACCCAGATAGACTACAGAGAAGTTTGTTATGTTGCAAACTTGATCAACAAGAGAAAGATGGACTTTTTAATAAATTGTTGTAATATTTAAAACAAAACAAAACAAAAAGTTCAAGTGGGTGACAACTGAATGTATTTATTCATTCTTTTGTTGTTTTATCTTTTTCTATTATGGAAATTTTCAAAAAATACACAGAAGTAGAGAAGGTAATTTAATAATAGAGTAGTATGACTGTCTGCCTGTTCTTGTTCCATCTTTACCCCCACACCCACGCTTTGTTTTTGGCTGGAGGCTTTCTCCCCAAGCAAATCGCAATAACTCATTTTATTTTATTTTATTTTATTTTATTTTATTTATTTATTTTATTTATTTTATTTTAATTTAATTTAATTTTATTTTATTTTATTTCTCTTCAGTAACTCGTTTTTAAAAGGACAACTTTCTTCTCTAATGTTTCCTCTCAACCTCTTTCTCTTACCATGGCCCAGGAACAATTAACTCCCTCCCCCTCCAGAAACATGTGCTCAAAAAGTGTCAGAGTGCCTTGCTTCTGACAGTCAGTCAGCCTTCCCCACTGGCCCAGAGCCCAGCTATTTCCCAGCACTGAGGAGAAGGCTAAGTACCTGCAGGTGAACTGGCACTTAGTAAAAAAAGGGTCACTGCATCCATGAGCCATGGCACTGCCAGAAAGAACCAAGGGCCTCCAGGAGCACCTAGCCAGGCCCAGGGAAATGGAAATACTGACTTTGGGGGTCTTGGATGCAGAGGGTTAAGGTGGAAGGATTTCTTCCACACTAAGGGCATCTCCAGGGAAGCAGGGCTCCTGGAGGCCTGGCCTCACTCTTGGGCCGGGGCCCTCCAGCTTGCCTCTCCAGGCCTTTCCCACTACCACGTTCACCTCTCAGCTTAAACCGAAACCAGATTCCTGGTGACATGGCCCAAGGAAGGAGGGGACATTGTTTGCTAGCAGGTGGAGGTATCCTGAGCTGTCAAGGCTGGTGGGAATAAGAGGGAAGGAGCAGGTGTAGTGAGAAGCTCTGGAACATGTTTGAAGAGGTGGATACAGAGTGATGCAGAGGTGACCTCGCCCCACTGGATGCAGAGGGACCAGTGACCTCCCTTAGCACCTGCAGTAATGGATTTCATACAGCTCATTTTTAAAAGGGGAAGTGTCTCTCAGTGCATGTCTCTCAGCCGGTCTTCTGTGAGTTTCTTTCTTAAAGCTAAGGATATACCCAATCTCCACTGCTGTCAGAGTAAGAACTTCGCCATGGGCTCTGCTTGCTGAGGTGTGCCATTCGTCACCCCTTTGGCCACGGGCTCCAAGGACCTTCCCCTTCCTTATCATAGTGGTCCATGGGTTCCTAAGTATCTGCTGGCTGCTTCTGGCCCCTGAGGATTGCAGTGGCTTCCTGAAGTCTTGTGGAATGACAGTGCCTAATCCTCATCCAGTTCTCGGCCTTACAGTCCAGAAGCCCGTTGTCGTTACAGTTACTTTGGCACCGAAGATCAGGTGAACCCGTCCTGGCCATTCCGTCTTGCTGGTGGCGGCGTGCGAGGGGGCCTGTTTACTCGGTCAGTCACTGTGTCTCCTGGGACTGGGAAAGCTCATGCACACGTTCTCTGCTTCCTTTCCAGGAGGGCCGCAAGAATGAGGTGCTGCTGTCCAAGGTAAAAGCCAAGGCCTCCTGAAAGTTCCCGGACATCATCGTATGTCACTGATTTTTTTTTTCCTTTAACGCCATGTATCAACTGCGAGATGGTGAAATGGTTCTGAACACTACAGTAGAGAGATGCAGGGGTCATAATCTCAGCACCCGGATATTTTCTTTTTCCCATTTGCTTCCATTTCATCTCTCTGTTGTTGATGGAATCAGACGGTGTAAACATGATGGCTCGGATAACACCCATCATCCTATGAGGAAATGCGGGCAGTATTCGTTCTGCATCGGATCAGCTTCAATTTCTCCAGTAACATTGCACACATAAACATACCTGTATTTGTATGGACTCCCTGAATAAAAAGGAATTCATTTGTTCAGCAAATGTTAATTGAGCAACCAGTGAGAAGTAAGCACTGGGGGAGACGGAAGTATAAAACACAGGCCCTGCACCTCGGGCAGCCAGCAAGTGGCCCGCGGCAGGGCAGAAATAGCCCAGAGCTTGGTCACTTGAGATTTTTGTTTTGTTTTGTTTTGTTTAGTAAAGGCTTTTAGCTGAATGACCAGCCCATGTGAGTGTTGGTCATGTGGGCCCTTCACTTACCCTTGGTGCCTTTTGTTCCTGGCTCCTCGAGACACCAGCTAGCAGTCTTAATGGTATAACCGCAAGAATGAAAACTCAGTGGCTGCCATTGGTTTAACTCGTACATACGACTCAAGTTTATTTCACCAAAAATTGAAAACAGGGGCCTCATATTGAGGACCCCTACACAAGCATGACACCTTAATATGCCCAGTTCTCACATGAGTACCAGCCAGGCGTGGCTGGTCTTGTGCATCCCTCCCCATTACGCATACACGCCATGAGCTCCACGTTCTGGACAGGTCCTGGGCCACGCACAGAGATGAGACTCACGCACCAGTCGCTGAGCTCCAGGGCAGCATGTGGTAAATGCCAGAGCGACCGGCCACGAGCAGAAAGCAGAGGGCATTGGAGGAGGAAGAGCAGTGGGGCGTGCAAAGATCCAGGAGACTTCGTGGGCGAGGTAGGACTGGAGCTAGATCGGAGTGGGGAGTTGCATTTTAATAGGCAGACACAGGTGGGAAGGCCATTTTGGATAAAGTACGACTGTAATTAGAAACTTGAAAGGGTGCAGGGAGAGTCCAAGCGTGCTTGTTGGGCAAGGAGTGGACGGGCCTGTCTCTGCAGGACAGGCAGGCTGGGACCAGCCTTCGGGGGGGCCTTGGAGGCAGGCAGAGCAGTAGACTGTCCTCTGGAAATGAGCAGAGCAGACCAGACGCGGAGCCCCTCCTGCCCTGGCTGTCAGGGATCCAGCAGCTCAGCCGTGTTCTGTGAACCCCAGCAGGAGGTTTGCGCTTCATTCTGCGTGAACCTTGCACACATACTGGTCAGCAGGTACGGACGCGACCCTTTAGAAATCTGATGCCAGATTAGCAGCAGCCATTGGTTTCTGTGGCCGGGCAGCGAGGCCTGTCCGATGAGGCTGGCTGCTTCCAGAGGGATGCTCCCCTGTGCCAAGTGTGTCCTTCCTGGGCCACGTACATCTCCCCTCGGCTGCTCCGGCGGCCGCAGTCATCTGCAGATTGATTTTTTGAAAGGGCCCCAACAAGCTGAAGCACGTGACAGCCAGAGAGCAGGTGGCACTCTGAGGGCGGGGAGAGGGGGGAACAGCAGTTTGCAGATTATTTCAGATTCAGGGAAACGTGTGTTTTCTTGTTGAGAAGCTCTCTTGTTGAGAGCAGTTATGAAATTGTCTGTTTGTCCAAAGGTGGTAGGGAGGTTATATTCTGGGGTTCCGTAGCCCGTCTCCATGCTGTCGGGGCAAGTATGGCATGACCACTCCAAAGCAACTAATTAATAACCATTTTTAAAAGTGAGAGGCATTTATTGGGTATGTTTCCAAAGAATTTCATTTGATTTGGTTTTGTATAGGGAGGTATCAGAAGATCTTTTTCCCCTTTTAATCCACAAGGTCTAGTACAGATTACAAGTGTGTTCCTATTCCTTGGACACGTCTTGGATTAGACTGCAGGAGCCAGTTTTGAGAACTGTGTGTTTCCTACAGATGCCCCACAGAGTGGATGGTGCCTTTGTGAGGAATTAGGACCGTAAGCGTGCCTTACAGTCGGGCCTTAGAGGCTGACGTGATGCCCCAAGGCCCACTTCATTTCAGAAGCCACTCAGGAGCGTTCCTCCCAGGATATCTTGTGTTCCCAGAGTATGGGTGGGTATTGGGCTAAGCCCACAGACTTTTCTGGAGTTAAAAAAAAAAAAAAAAAGTCAGCAGGAAACATGCTTAAGTTACTTTTATGAAATGTGTGCTTCTGGAGGAATGAGGCTTCCTGAGGAAGCATTCAGTTTCCCCTCTTCGGTCAGAGCCATGAGCTTGCTAACCTGGCAACCTTCCCGGAGCTGACCACCCGGTACCCTGGCATTCTCCACCAGTCTCGGGGTGGGGCGCCACCCTCCCCAACATGCATCTCACCGAGTACATGGGGCTGCCTTGGTCTAAACCAAAATCAGAGCTGCTGAGCAGTACAGACTAGAGGACCGTGAGGCATGTGGGGAGACATTTGGACATATTTCTTGTTGTCCTTGGCCAGGGTTCGGTCCCATGAGTCCCTGGGGTCAGCTCATTGCACTAGAGGGAGGTGCCAAATGTTAGAGAATGCTGCCAAAGTGACATGTTGGGGTGTTTCCTTTTTGAACAGAGAGAGCAAGCTCATTCCAGGTTTGTCAGGCCTGAGTTCTTGTTAGAGTCTCAAGTGTATGGTTTTCACTGGGTTCTGGTCCATTGCCCATATTCTGTGGGTAGCCAGGTCCTGCCAGTGTCTACTGAAGCAGGACCAGAAGGCCGAGGGGCTGCAACAGATAGCAGGCCTTTCTCAGGCTGAGGAAGTACTTCCTGACAAACAGCGTAGCTCTTGGAAGCTCCTGCAACCAGGAGCAGAGGACGGGGAAGGCCTCAGGCAGCCCTCTGCAGCCTCATGCAGCACCATCCCCATGACCTCAGGCTGACTACTGCTGGCCTTGATCATGTCTGTAGTGACCAAAGCAGGTCTGACAGCAAAGGCACTTTGGACCACAAGCAGTGGCCTGTGACCCGGGCCACCTTGATTCCTGTCACTCGGGCATGGCCTCGTCTTGCCCTGTCTGCACGTGACTGATGATCCGTGTACGAGGGAAGCAGCCATTCTAGTGATAAACTTCAGCGGGCACTTTGGCTGAGCCTGAGGTGCAGAGCTGGCTTGAAGCTTGCTTTGGGAAAGAACGTTAAGGAAGTGCTTTCTGCTGTCCTTGTGTCCAGTGCTGGCTTCCGGTACAAGCACATCTTACTGCACAGCAGTCCCGCAGAGAGCCCCAGCAAGGGCAGGGAGCTGCCGTCCATCTGTGTGGCTGGGTACCGGTCAGCTGGCGTGCCTCATGCGAGCCATCTTCGGAGCCCCCCGGGCCTTCTCTCAGTCCTCTTCCCCAAGTCCAGAGCATTTCTTCTAACAGCACATGGCGATGGGCTCAGAAACGTTTTGTAAAAAATCATGTTGTCACGGTCCCCACTCTTCTCACGATAAATGTGTAAAAGCACTGAGGGGATCTAGTAGCTGGTGTGTGGCACATTTGACATTGTGGGGAATACTGTGGGTTTTCCGCATCAGCCTTCCATCAGTTCCTCAAATGCGCCGAGCTCGCACCTGCCCGTGGTTGTTGTCCTTGCTGCTGCCTCTGCCTGGTCCGCCATCCGTCCAAGGTCACGGGCAGTGGCTTTCCGGGACGGCCTGATCTGCTACAGACCCATTCAGTGCCTGCCTGCAGCCCTGGTCACGTTCTACCCTTTCCCCTGCTGTCTCTCTCGGTGGCACAAGCTACTGTTGGATCTCTTCGTCCTTCACGAAGTCTGTTGCGTGCTCACCCCCCAGAGTGGGAGAGCGGTGAAAGCAGGAACCGTGCAGTCTCCCCAGAGCCTGGCTTGGGTCAACAGCCCAGAGATTCTGGCCGCATAAAAGAGCTTCTCTAAATTACAACTTCGCATCCCTGTTAATTAGCAGAGTCTAGACTGAAGCTTTCGTCTGATTTATGCTTTGTTTGCATACAGGTGGACAGTTTTACTCAGCAGCTTGAGAGACTCTCTCAGAGTGTCTTTGTTAGACTCGCACCTCAAAGGTCGGGATGACCGAGGGGTCAGAGGTCTCACACCGTTCAAAGCAATTACCTTTCACGTGGGTTTTTTTTTCTCCCCAGACAGGGAGAAAGAGAAAGGGAACACACCAGTGTCAGAGATGAGGTCATGAGTCTCTTTTGGCTCCAAGTATGTTGTGAACCTCACGGTCACGTGACTGGTTGAAGTGACTCAGCCACATGAAACCAGGAAGTGGGGAGCAGCCGTGGAATGCCGTGCTGGCAGGAGTACGAACGGTACAAATCCACGGGGGGCAGTCCGGCAGTATCTACGAACAGTGCAAATGCACAGACCGCTTGAGCCAGCAGTGCTACTTCTAGGAGTTTTCCCCATATGCAGGGACTTTTACTGCAACATTATCTGTAATAGCAAGAAGCTGGAAACCACCACCAACAGAGGGCAGTGGTTAAGTGAATCATGGTGAATCCGTCCAGTGGGCTGTTAAATTTGGAACAACAGAGTCACTCTGTATGTACTGCCGTGGGATGATCCCTAAGGCGCATGGTTAAGTGGGGGACAAGAGGCTCTTGGTATACTGGTGCTTGTTTTTGAAAGAGGGGAGGGGTTGGGGAAAACGTGTGTCGATGGGTATACACACGTGCGTGGCGCATTCACGCACATCTGTCATGCATACCTGCTAGCGTGTGCCTAGACTATCTCTGGGAGGGTACACAGGAACCTGACAGCTTTGTTTGCCTCTGGGGAGAGGGATGGGAATTGCTTTTCACTGTATACCTTTTGTACCTTTTGAATTTTATACCATGTACATGTATTATCTATTCAAAAAAAATAAAGTTTTTAAATCTTAATTTGATTTGATTTTCTACCAAACAGAAACATGACAGAAGATTCATGTTTGATAAGTCTGCTTTCCTTAGGAATTTAAAGTCCTATGCCCAAAGTAATTAATCTCTCCTTTTCTTGGGTCTTGGGGGGAAATAGGGAAGTGGAAAGGGGGCTCACCTCTTCTGACAGAGCAGCTATAGGGAGAGGAAGCAGTAAGGGGACGGCAAGGGGGCAGTGGACCGTGAAGCAGTTTGCCCCTCTCTCGTGAGGGTCACAGCACCACCCCTGTCCCTCTGGCTTTGGGGTGCAAAAGATGGAGATGGTACCCCTGAGCCAAGGAGACGTTGCTGCTGGTAATCAGTACAAGGTGCATTAAGAGAGCTTCTGTTCTTGCAAGTTGCTG